AATATAAACTTGGTGTTTCCAGAAAGATGTGATGCAATAAATGGAATAAGGGAAAATTAGGTCTCTAAGGTCTTAAACAACTATATTCCACTTTATCACTTGAATGTACTCATCAGAGTGCTAAGGCCAGAGTGATTTCTGTTATTTGAGTTTCTTTACAGGAACCTTTCTCCAACATCCATGCCTTATCTACTCCTTATCTACCCTTATCTGAATTTGCTTGTTTTTGACCCTGCTCTAAGCCCTTTCTGTTTTCGTTTTAACACAAGAGTTACATAGTCCAATGCTCTGGTGTCAGACTGCTTGGGTTTGAATCCTGATTTCACATTGGCCAGCTGTTTGAATTCTGGAAGGTTACCTAGGCTGATTAAGTCTCTTTTTCTTTATCTGTTGAAAGCAAATGACAATAGTACCTCTTGCAAATAGTTATTCTAAATTTTAAATAATGGTAATCCAGATAAAGTGATTAGTAAAATGCTTGGCCATGGTAAGGACCTAGTAAACGGTAGTTATATTTTCATTTAAGGAATATCAATTCTTTTTTTTTTTAAACTTCTAACCACTCCTGAACTCCAAGTTTTAAACATAATTTCAAGTATATGTACCCTTTACCTAGTTGACTAGATGTGTGTCTTCATTAGTGTGTAAAGCAGGTTTTTGTATATTTAATTTTATTTTCTTGTTAATGTTGTATAGTCGGAGATGAAGTCTTATTAAGCCACTGTATCAATAATAATGAACAACAGATGTTTTCATTGTTAGCAGATTATTGACAGCATTTAAATTAGCAGTTCATTGGAGACCCTCAGAACTTAGAGGAATTTTAAAACTATAATACCAAAAGACGCCCCCCCAACAAACCCCGCCAGCACCTCCCACCTCAGTCTTTAAAAAAATGATGATGAGAACATAACAAAGGTGTTTATTTGGGGTAGAAACTATCTTTCATTGAAGTGTGAGATGTTTATGAAGACCCAAGAGAAATGGACACACCCAGAGTGGTTTATAAGCAGAATAGCTCGTAACCCTGGTGTGGAAAAGGCCATTTCTTGAACTCACAGGACAATGTCTTTAAAATTTCACTCCTAAAAAGGTACAAGCTCATATGGATAAGAAAGTGGGGAACTTTGTGGTAATGGTTGTTTCTTCAGGATATTTTCCGTTTTATGTGTCCAGTGTCATTTCTAAATACTTAATAGAACCATCACTGAAATACAGTGCATTATTCAGAACTGAAAGTACCTACATTTACTATAAATATTTATCTTGCATATACTGTGCACATATGTGGTTTTCAATAGCTTCAAATATGCTGGAAATTTCTGACCGGCCCCTTTGGTGAACACCAGGCTGCGGGCTGCATGTGTGGTAACAATTCCAGACACTCTTCTTTAGTTCCAGCTCTGGCAGAGACCTTCTCACCGTGGTTGATGATGTATGAGGGAATCACAGCTAACATGTGTTCCTTTTGCCTCTGGGTGCTGCGGTAACATAGATTCCTGGCAAGTAAACAGGGCCTAGTTTAAAGACCATTTCAACTAGGTGGTTAAGGAAATGAACTCATGTTCATCTCTGGTCAGTGTTGGGTGACATCAGTATTTCCCATAGCCTTTGGTCTCTGGATTCTTGAGGTACAGGAAACAACTACGTTAGAAACACATTTGGAAGCCTAGGCCACTTGAAATGTATTAAAAGTCAAAGATCCACATTCAGGGTTTAGGGTTCTAATTTAAATGCCCTCTGACCTTATTACTAACATTTGCAAAAGACACCCTAGGCTTTAACATTCCTTTTTGTCTTTTGTATTTTGGTGGCTTGCTATATTAGATTATCCAAATGAAAGCATCAGTTGGATATTTCTTCTTCACCTCCTACCATGGTGATGTATATAAAGAAAACAAGCAAAAAGGTGGTACAAGAATATTTAATGGTAAAGTCAGATTCAATAGAAGCAGAGGTGGAAGAAAGGAACCTAGTTGCTTCACTTTTAACACACGTTTTCCGTAGATGGCTGGTTTTCTTCAGTTTTCATAATTACAATTTCAGGCAGCATCCCTCCACTCCAGGCTGGTTATCCCATTTGTGGGTTACCCATTTCCTGTGCATTTCCTTCCTCCGGCCCACCTCTTGGCCACATTAACATGACTTCATGTCACAATCGATACCGCAGGTGGCCACAGCAGGTTTTGAAAGGAGAATGGAATAAAAACCTGTCAAGGTTGCTTTGTGTTAAATTAAAATATTTGGTGAGGAGAGGCCCAAACTCTTGGCCAGAATGAGGCTTCTGACAAATGGAGGCATTTCAGAAATCTACACTTTTTTTTTAATCAATCTTTGTTAACTAAGTGTTAGCTGGCTGTGTATCTTGGAAGAGGTCAGAGGAGTACACGTACTGGAAATAAACTTGAGAATATACCCTCATTTATGGAATGTAATTAGCCAATATTTTTGAAATCCTAGGTCAGACTTAGTTTATTACATGTCTTCTAGGGGCTTATAGTCAGGGAGACAAAATTCACACCCAGGGTTCAACAGTCAACAACAGTTGGGCAGAATTCACTGAGTCAGTGTTGGATTGCATAGAACAGAGAGAGAAGGGGAGAGAAAACATGTGTGGGGTGGGGAAGAGGGGGTGGGGTGTATTTTTAAGTTCAGAGAAGGGAAAAAGACAAGTAGGCTGAAAAAGGCTATGTGTTAAGAGGTAGGTCCAAAGCTGGGGCCCAAAAACTGAAGGCACAAGGGAGAGAGAATTCGGATTAGTAGAGTAGAATAGTAGAGTGTGTGTGTTCAGGGCCTCAAGTGCCAGAAAGAAGTCAGGAAGGTGGGGGAAAAGATACAAATATTCTTACAAAATTAGAAGCCCCTATTCTGTAGGAAATCAATGTTGTCTGTCATGAAAATACGGGTGCACCCTTTCTTAGAATGAATCCTTGAAACTACTCAAGTGTATTTATAACACTCAACAAAAGGCAGTCTCATTTGGGGAATACATTAATTAACAAATTTATTTTGGAGGCATTGGAAGCACCTGTAAGGGATGAGGTTTGGAAAGGAGCTTCCGCTTAGGATGTAGTTGGAATAAAAGCTGAGTTGTGGCCTACAACGTCCTGAATGATCTGACATGCCTCCGCTTCTAACTTTCTGCCTCTGTACCATTCTCTCCCTCTTCACTAAGCTCCAGCAATACCCATCCTCTGATATGCTAAACTCTTTCCTGCCTTACCATCTTTGCATGTGCTGTGTCCTCTACCAGGACACTTGTCCCTAGGCTCTTGGGCAGACCAGCTCCTTCTCACATTTCACATTTGCAGAGACTGGAATCTTTTTTCTGACCATCTCATCTAAAGTGGTGTGCTCAGATCCCTCAGCATTCACCATCATATCACAGTGTTTAAAACACAAGGAGCCTTTAAAACACAGGGAGCTCACTGAATGGTCTTGTTTATTTGGTGGTTTATCTTCTGTGTCTCGCCTTTAGGACAGGGACCTCCTCTGCCTTGTGCACAGCCACACCCTAGCATATAAATTCAAACCGGGTAACTGAGGAACATATGCTTTATAATTTCTTAATTATAGTAGGTACTCAGTGAAGTGTGTGTTAAGTGAATCCATAGCAGTGAAGTCTCCATTGTATTTAGGGCATAGTAAGCTTCTGTTCTCCTCCATTCCCAATATGCTGAAGTGTTTGTTACAAAGCAGGAAGAAAGTAATGAATGGGGAAGGATCTGGGGTGGCTCGTGTTGCTATGGAATTATATAGCAGCACAGCTCTTCTCTTTTGTTCCTGTCCCGAATCTTAAGAACCTAGAAAACAACATCACACAGAGGGATATTTCAAAGAGATGGACTTTAAAGGAACAATTGTGTGGGTTAGATGAATGCTCGTAAATTATGTCAGGAAAAGCTGCTGCCTTAATTTGTTTTTCAGTATGTTTGTATGTTGTAGCCATTGCAGAATGAAATTACTATACATAATGAGCCAGGTTCCGTGTTTTACAGCCTGCCCCTCGAAGCCTTCACACACATTTTCCTGTGTAGGGCACCTTTCTGGACTTGGCACTATTCTTCTTTGCCTTCTTGAAGAAATAGTGCTGGATGAATTTGTCTGCTGCCTACAAATTATGGTACAATAGCCATTGTTAATTTAGTGAAAGAAATGTGGACAACCTGTTATTTTTTCTTGCCCATGGGTTTTTCACAGGAGCGCATATCTGGCTGCTGTACAGAAGCTGCCTGAGTGGTTCCATTTGTAGCTGGATTGGCTTCTAGGCGCTTGGTTAAGATAAATTATAAAGTATATGTTCTTCAGTGACATGGTTTGGATTTATAAATGAAATACTATGATGCCTATTTGTATGTCATTAAAACATGTTAACAATAAAATGATACATCCATTTTTCTGCTGTTGAGATACACCTTATTTATTTTATGCTTTTGCAAAAGACTTACGGTATCAAAACAGGTCAGAGCTGGTAGTGGAGAGATTTCTATTTCACTTGCTTTTCCCACATCTTTCTTTCCTATCTTCCCCTGTTCATGCTGGAGGTCTGTGTTTCTACACTAGTAGACAATGTGCCAAATTACTGTTTAATTTATTATCTTAATAAATTTAATGCATTATCTTAAGAAGCAGAGCCAGGCACAATGGCTCACGCTTGTAATCGCAGCACTTTGGGAGGCTGAGGTGGGAGGATCGCTTGAGGCCGGGAGTTTAAGACCAGCCTTGGCAACAAAGCAAGACCTTGTTTCTGCCCAAAATTTAAAAGTTAGCTGGGCACGGTGGTGTGCATTTGTAGTCTCAGCTACTCAGGAGGCTGAGGCGAGAGGATCCCGTAAGCCCGGGAGTTCGAGGTTACAGTAAGCTCATCACACTACTACACTCCAGCCTGGGCAGTAGAGCAAAAAAGATAGATAAATAAATAAATAAATAAATAAATAAATAGGTAATTCTTCAATTTCCTCACTATTTAGTAATCTTGCAGCATGCTCTTCTTATTTCAGCACTGCAGTGACAATACGCATCCCTGCCAGTCTGACATGAATATCGAAGGAGCCTGGAAGAGAGGCTACACGGGAAAGAACATTGTGGTCACTATTCTGGATGACGGAATTGAGAGAACCCATCCAGATCTGATGCAAAACTACGTGAGTGTATGCTGTGGTTGGAAGGTCTTTCCTTCTGGGAAACAGGGAAACTCGTGTTGGGATTATCAGTAAGGTGGATAGCTACTGAAAAATGTAGCAGCATACAATAGGGTATTGTGTTTTGCTTTTCTCTGGTAAAAGATGAGTTCTTTGAATACAGGAAGCATGAGATAACCCTTTCAACTTTCCAGTGACTTTGATGTTCTGACTTACAAAAAGAAAGCAATAAGGTAGCAGAAACCTCACCACCAACACCATCTGCTACCAGCAACATTCGCTGTTCTCAACACTTTATCCAAGCAGCCAGGCAGTACTCTTTGTTTCTTTTGTGGAGAAAAATGTACTTCAAACTTTTCTCCAGTTATCTGCTGGTCTTCTTTCTCTCTCTCTGCCTCTTCTTTGTTTTTTTTTTAAAGGACAGTAATGATCAGCCTCCCAGTGGTCTGTAGGAATCAATTCCTTTCTTAAGAAGAAGCCACAAATTCATTTAGTTCTCATTTGAACAAAATGGTTGAGTTGCTGCATCCAAGCGCACCCAGACAAACTGTGTCTCTTTACAGAATAGAATTTTAAAGCTAAAAAGGAACTTCAGGTTACTCTCCTCATTTGATAGGAGAATAAATTGTAGCCTGAAGACAGAAGGGAGTTATCCATGGTCAGATAGAAGAACAGAAACTATGGCTGTCTGTGCCCCAGCGGAGATATCTTTCTTGTCACACGCAAAGAGGGTTTTACAGCATGCTGCTCTTCCCCACTGCATATGAATGTATTTGACTAAATACAAATAGCATTCATGTAATTGGGAGTACAGTCTTTTATCTTTTTCATTTTTCTCCTCTTGAGAAAAAATTCTCTAGAATTATCTGTGCCATTAGCATGATTGGCGCCTTCTTGGTTCTTCTTTATGCTGGACCTGGTGGGGAGTAGAGAAAGCACGTTGGGTAACATGTCAAAGACTTGGGTTCCTTCCAGTCTGGATTTGTTTAATCACTTTTAAAGGCAAACAAGCAGATCCAACTTTGGTTTTGGCGATACTGTTTCTTCATATTGAAATCTTGGCGTAGGAAAACTTTGCTTATCATTTTGGTTGGTCCTCTCTTTCGGGCCTCTTTTTCCTTATCAGTAAAATTAGTAAGATACATTAGATACACTCTGAAGCCTTCGTGCTCTAAAGGACACTAAGCAGGTCTGTAGAGCCTCTTTTGCACAGGAAGCAGGAACTTACCACCTGTATATACAATATATATTTTGCGTGATTTCCCTAAACATTTCAGGCTTTATGTACTAAAAGTTATTTTCAGAAAGAAGAGCCTTTGATAAAGACAGAAAATCAAGATAGTGTTTACTTTCACTAACATTGAAATTAGGAATAATAATAAAGTATAAGAACATTCAGGCTAGGTGCACTGGCTCACGCCTGTAATTCTAGCATTTTGGGAGGCTGTGGCAGGAGGATTGCTTGAGCTCAGTAGTTTGAGACCAGCCTGGAAAACAGCGAGACCTTAACTCTAATAAAAGTAAAAAAAAAATGAGGAGAGAGAAAGAGAGAGACCAAGCCACTCAACAGACCACCAGAACTGAAAATAAGTCAGATTATACTCCAGAGAAAGGGTCCCAATAACACCACATTATTCCGAGCTAGAAGGTGGAAACAGCCAATTTTTCATTTGATAGTAAGATATGTTTCTTATAGCCAACTAACCTAAATAGAAAGAAACTTCTGCCAAATTATTCTAGTGACCCCATACACTTGTGGTCTTAATCTCTTATATTCCCTCTGAGCATTTCTTTTCCCTCCTTATATACTTGTATCTTTCTAAAAGTTAAAAAAAAAATAGCTGGGCGTGGTGGCACCTGCCTATAGTCTCACCTACTCAGGAGCTGAGGCAGGAAGATTGCTTGAGCAGGGGAGACCGTGATCACGCCACTGCGCTCCAGCCTGGGTGACAGAGGAAGACCCTATTTCAGTTAATCAATCAATCAAAGAAAATTCAAAGCATGTTAAATTAGGCTGGCTACAGTGACATAAATTTGATAAATGGTAACAGTCTAGTAATTTTTTTTCAGTATTGCAGATATTTTTCACAATCATTTTTAAAAGCAAACAAGCAAATCCAACTTTGGTTTTGGAGATACTATTTCCTTATTTTGAAATCTTAATGTAGGAAAACTGTTCATCATTTTGGTTGGTCCAAAAGCCAATGGGTATTAGTAGAATGTTTACATCATGGACTCCTTTTATAGTAGATACAATATCTGGTTTGTATCTAATAGACGAGGGTTGTCTAATAGCAGTCCCAAGATACCTGACATAATAAAGATCTGATATTGATTGTTAATTGGCTTGCCAATGATACGTGAATGATTTTTGTCTTCTGAAATCTGTATTATGATAAGGAAGTTGCAAGCTCAAGAAATCAAGTAAGGAGTAGGGAGAGAGTCTTTGGAGAATAAATCACTTTGTGCCTAGGTAGTCAAGGAGATAAAAGGTAATAATGAGGATGTCTTTGAAAGATATACATTTCATGAACTGGGTCATTATAGGTATGAGGGGGAAAAGTGCTGGCAAGAATGAACCAGGCAATTCTTTGGTCTGTGTAGAGTTCTTCTTCACCTTAAGGGGGAAAAATACAGCACTAATTATCACTGAATGAGCACTCCCTCCCTAAGGCCTGACACCACTGAACCGTGAGAGTATTAGTTAACCTAATTACTTTCTGGCAGAAATGTATTTAAAAATGCATGAGCCTGTGGGTCAATGGCTAATTAATGAATGTCCATTTCCTTTCCCTTGCTCTCTCCTCTGTGGCTATAGGATGCTCTGGCAAGTTGCGACGTGAATGGGAATGACTTGGACCCAATGCCTCGTTATGATGCAAGCAACGAGAACAAGTAAGGCCCAAGTGAGGGGTGGCTGTCATGTGGCTGGCAAGGAGCTTTGTTTTCTGCTCATGCTGAGGGAAGTATTTTCTTCAAAATCCTTGATAACATGTGTAAAGGTAAACTGAGGCTGGAGCCTAACCAGGAACGAAGACACAAGGCAAATGGCAGTGAGAATAGCCTTTTATTAGGCCTTGCAGGCAAGGTTGCTCGGTCCAAAGGCGTGGGCTGAGGAAGTCATGCTGAGGGAGGAGGGTAGGGGCTTCTTATAGCCTGAGAGGTAGGGAAACTGGTTGTGCAAACAGGGCCTGGGGGGGTCTTGAAACTACTAGGGCAGGAGTTGAGTAAGGGTCACGAGGAAGGGGTCTTTGGAAACTGTCACCCGAAACTGCTGTTTACGAACTTGTGGAATGCAGGTGAGTTGCAGGTCATGGGGGAGTGTGGTTGCCCAGCCGGAACTCTGACGCATGTAAGTCTGCGGGTGTGTACAAGGGTGAAGGGAGTCTTTAACAACAGGCCTGCTACGCCGGGTAGCGCCGCCATATTAGGTCTAGATTCCTGCCTAACAATATGATTCTTAATTTGCTCCAAGATAAACAAGTGTCTTTCCACTGAAGCCTCTGAGTAAGAAAAAAAGGGATGCTCCATATAGAAAGAATGGTTGCAGAGAGAGCCCTGGGGAATGGCTCAGCATTTCCAAATCTTGAGACTGGAACCAAGAGATGACCCCTCACATGGTAATTGCCCTGTGACCCATTTGTTTAGGGACAGAGGTGGTGAAGGGAGAGGCCAAGCAAAGTACCTCCCAAAAGAATTCTTTGTTCTGTTAAATTCAACACATGATTGAATACTGCATTTGAGGTCCCCACCTGAGAGTTTATTTTACTTCTCCTTTGCTCCTCTCGCCTCTGTAGTTATTGTGTTTTTCACTAATATACCTGAAATACCTGGAAGGATTATCGCCAATTGAAGAAGGCATTACTTTTCTTTATTCTCCCCCCGCCCAGGCAAGAGGCACAGAAACCTGGTTAACCACAGTTATGCTTTCTGTTTACTGCTGTGGTTTTTAGTGAATGCAAATCAACATTCACATCCATTTGATAACAGAATATTTTAACATTCCTCAGGCAAGTAAGAGAGAATGGTTTTTCTTGCTTACATAATGACCCAGATTCCTTACATTATTAGTAAATATTTCTAACCTCTAAATCACATTAATTAACTTTTTTCCCTTTTACTATGAAGCTCCTCAGGATAATGCTGTAAGTTAGATACTTTCATGTGAATTTTTATTTACATGTTTTATTTACATTACGTATACAGAAGTTGCAAAGAGAACTGTTTAGCCCATTTATTTTGTTATTTCTAATCTGCTTTTTTCTTTAGGGAAAAATTTCTCAACTAGGTTTATTTGATTAAGTCAGTAAGTTTAGATAAAACCATATGACCCAGAAAATTGTCACTGTACCTATGTGGTTTTTCTTTACTGTCTGCAAAGAAAGCATAACAAAATAACTGTAGAAACATGCTGCTGGTTGACATGAACAACCAAGTCAATCTTCTAGATCAGATTCAGTCCTGAAAGCATTAATACACAAATTGCTATAGGTAGAATCTTCCAGAACTTCCAAGCAAACAGAGAGACCTACGTTAAACTGGATAGTTTTCTTTCAGATTTACTGTGACTGCCCAGTGGGTTCACCTTGTCCACAGCCTAGACAGAGCCAATTTATCAAGACAGGGGAACTGCAATGGAGAAAGAGTAATTCACATAGATCTGCCTGTGCTGGAGACCAGAGTTTTATTATTACTCAAATCAGCCTCCACCAAGCATATGGGGATCCGAGTTTTTAAAGATAATTTGGTGGGTAGGGACTTAGGAAGTGAGGAGTGCTGATTCGTCAGGTTGGAGATGGAATCACAGGGGGCTGAAGTGAGGTTTTCTTGCCATCTTCTGTTCCTAGGTGGGATGGCAGAAATAGTTGAGCCAGATTATCAGTCTGGGTGGTGTCAGCTGATCCATCAAGTGCAGGGTCTGCAAAATACCTCAAGCATTGATCTTAGGTTTTACAACAGTGATGTTATCCCCAGGAGCAATTTGGGGAGTTTCACACTCTCAGAGCCAGAGGCTGCATGACCCCTAAACTGTCATTTCTAGTCTTGTAGCTAAATTGTTAGTCCTGCAAAGGCAGACTGGTCCCCAGCCGAGAAGGGAGTCTTTTCAGGAGAAGGCTATTATCAGTTTTGTTTCAGGGTTAAACCATGAACTGAATTTCTTCCCAAATTTAGTTGGCCTACACCCAGGAATTAACGAGGACAGCTTAAAGGTTAGAAGCAAGATGGAGAAGTCAGTTGGGTCTGATCTCTTTCACTGTTCTTAATTTTCTCAGTTATAATTTTTGCAAAGGTGATTCCAATCCCTCCCTTTGGGTTTCATAGCACCTTATTCTTAAAGTGTGGCCTATGAAGATGGGAAAAAGCCATCAATCACTCTGACTTCTTCTTGCTGATAGGGGCATAGTGGGGTAGGTGTTGACCCCAAGGTGAGAGGAGTGGAACTGCTTTGCTGCTGTCTGAGCTGTCTGACCGTACTCACGCAGGCCAGGCTGGGGTTCCAAGGCTTTCATGACAAAGATGTTAGTATTCTCATCTATAGTTTTAGTACAGCATTTAAGCAGACAGTGTACTATAAGGTAAATAATGAGTTTTAGGATAAGGAGTACAATTCCCAGTTTTAAAAGTAAAGATTTGAAAGCATTAGTTTGGGGACTTAAAGTCCACCAGAAATTTAGGATTTAGTTTAAATTGAAGAAAAATAAAAATGAAATCTCAAAAACAACTAACAACAGGTGTACCGTAGTTTTGGGAACATAATTTTTCTCTTTCCAGTCCTTATTTTTATTAAAACAAATCATGATAGGACTGATATATTTGCAAATAAACTTTATTTTTTTTATGCTTGGCCTGATTATTTGCATAAGGTACAGCAAGAGTAATTATTTTTTACGTAGGCTTTTTAAATTGGCTTTGATGGAACTGTGTTCCATAAGGAATCTCACGTAAGAATTTTTTAAGGCCAAGCCCAGCCATGGGTTTTTACCCTCTAATACCTGTCAGTTGGGTAAATTTCTGTCCTCTTGAGGTCCCAAGGTAACTTAGGGCTCCTGGGCCTGTCAGAAAGGGACATTCTTTACTTACCACAGGTCAGGCACCCTGTAAAGGAACTATGTAGGCAAGGTTTAAGGCAAGTTTTCCTAAGGGGCTATTATTGACTTTACAAGTCAAGTTTAATTCCTTAAAGGAAAGCATGCCATTCCAGTCAAAGCCTTGGTAAAATAACCAGTTTCTTCAACTGTGTCCTGTTCAAAAGAAAACATTCTTATTGCACTTATGCAAATAACTGTATTGCCATAAGTTAAGAATACTCACAAATAGTTTCTAAATTCTGGAGAAATTAGGTAGAGAGAATCGAATATGCTCTAAATTTTGTCCACAGGAGTATACTTTACTCAATTGTTAAAAGCTGGAAATAGCTCAAAAGAAAAGTGTTTTTGTCTCTGAAAAACAAAAAGGATCAGCAACACTTTAAGCAAAAAAAAAAAAAATCTAAAATATTTACTTCAGTTTTCTGTTAGTTCAGTCCATTTAGTTAACTCCTGTTCTGCTGGATATTCATAAACATTTTAGCTCTCTGTGAGAGTCCTGAAAGTTTTTTTTTCCTTTTCTTCTAATGTCATAATCTCCAAAGTTATCAGAAACTTGCATTCAAGAGCACCTATTAAAGTTTTATAGCCAATTATAAAACCATCTTCTAAAGAGGACCAAATCAAGACAACAGTTATCTATGGATGACAAAAATATTTTAGGGAAGCCACAGTCAAAGACACAATTGACAAGGAAATTTGTTAGCTCTGTGACACACGATAATTCACCATAACAATTATAATTATTACTGATGACATGTATTGAGACATACCAGAATTATAGGAATCTTACACAATTTTGTAATACATACTAACAACAAATTTATATGAGTATAACCAAAAGAAAGTTAAAAACCATTTTATACTTAACAGTGTTTCCTGCATGATTTTAATACATTAAGTAAGCCAAATATGTGTTGTAGTCTGGATTATAATGTCTATATGTAAAGACAATTCTTTGAATATTTGCTTTGATGGCTTTTTATAGTCTATCCTTTTAAAACTGTTTTGTTTTTTTTTTTTTTCCTAAGGATTTCTTTTAAACTTGGCCACTTCCCAAGACCCTTGTTCAAGAAGAATCATGACAGTCATGCTCATCTGGGGTATTCTAGTGTGTCCCGCTTTGACCCATCCTAAGCACTGGTCATGGTTCATTGAGTGCAGTGGGGGATTGATTGCTGGAGGACACAGACATTGTTCCCAGTGTGTGCTTAGGTTTGCCATCTTGACAGTGAAATATGGAATTTTCACAGGTATAACTTCCTACCTCTGTTTTATGGAAATCAGCAGTGCCCTGAGGGTATAGATGTACCATTAGCTCCTCTCAGTAGTTCTGCCTGATTTTTTTTTTCCTCAGCTGACCAAGAGCACGTAGTCAGGCATTTAGGATTAAAATGCCCTCTTTGCTCATTAGACCGTAATAATGGATATGATCAGTGGATCTATCTTTAAGCATGGATCCACAGATAAATAACTCTGTTTGGATAGCGGTCACCTAGAGTTAGGAAATGAGTAGCTTTGTAGTTTGGAGGAGTTGACTTTTAGCTTTGGTTCTCCTTGATTATCTTGTGGTCTTTTGAGCTAACAACTCTGAGCTTTCAGTACTTTTTAGAAAGTCTCTAGAATGGGCATAATAATACTTCCTTCTAGGCTGGGCACAGTGGCTCACACTTGTATCCCAGTACTTTGGGATACCAAGGCAGGAGGATCACTTGAGTCCAGGAGATTGAGACCAGCCTGGGCAACATAGGGAGACCCTATTTCTACTAAATAAATAAATAAATAGCCAGGTGTGATGGCACGCAGCAG